AGAATCTCTTCAAATAGTTCAGAATTTAGTTCACAATAACGAAACGAGGGTAAAATTAAGCTAAATATTTTTATATAAATCAAACAAATCAATGTTTAAAAAGGGCTTAAAGCGACTTCTTGAGGAGTTTATTATTTTTTCAAATATTTATGATGTTGTTGATTAATTCTGTCAGGATATTCTGCAGATCAAGAGAAAACATTATACCAAATGTTCCATATGGTGAAAATGTACCATAATTCCAAAGAGCATTTTGAACTTTTGTCTATTTCCATAATATCAATGTTTACATGTTATACCGTGTCTATACTGGACATGTGCGGTGTTGCAAAAACTGGATCCTATTATAATCAACTGTATTATAAAGGTGTTTTCACACTTAGCCTTGCTCAACTGAATTTTGCCAAGAATCTATTCTGCCAGCTAGCAAACAAACCAACCCTAAATAACTGATTTCTAAACAGATGTTTTATTCATGTATTTATAATATTGAGGTATAGTGTTATAGAAAAATGGCTGAATAGACACTGACAGAATGAGCACCTTGTTGTGGATCTTTTTGCTCTTTGGCAATGATATAAATCTCTGCCCACACAGAAGTCACTGCCAAACCTTGCTATTGGTCAGTGCTACGAATTGTCAAAGTTCACCAAATCTGAACCCAACATAAATTTCAACTTTGTGAATAGGGAAATAATATTTCGCCACCAGAAGTCCATCCGGCAAAGTTCATTGTGATGAATTCAGTAGAAAGTTCACCCACAAAATTTCTCAGAGCAACGATAAATATGACTGCACCTTAACATTTCAAAACCACTATTTTTTTATATACGCTGTACAGTAAGACCCGCCAGTTTCCTATAGATATAAAATTATTTTATTTACAAATTTCATTGTGTACTACCAGCCAAAAATTTGGACACCTACTTTTCATTACCTTTTCATTATTACTATTTTCAGCATTTAATTGTAATTATTGCATTAAATGTCTTGATTTTTGTTAAGCAGTAAAATCAGTGTATTTTTCCATTGCATGGTATATTTTCATTGACGTTTAACTACTAAATACAATACTATAATACCAAAAAGATCCTAAAATCTTTTATATGGCATGTATTTATTTTGTTTTTTGTATAGCTTTACATTTTTTTTTACATACAGCTAACATTTTTTTGAGTTTCCTTTTATCTAAATGCAAGATAAGATGGTTACTCTGAAAGGATTGTTGAACAGATTTTGTTTCGTGGAGTGAAACAAATGTAATGTGAACATTAAAAGTCAGTTAATCA